ATAACACATGTGAATATGACTTGTATATGCAGTAGATAGTGAAAAACGCTGTCCCCTACTAGTGGCAAAAGAACAGTTAGACGAAGAAATAACTACTGTAACTACTGTTTTGCCCAAGTTTTTTAGGGAAAAATAAGGACGTGCATGCTACAAGGCTCTAATGATTACATGCCATAGGTAATACCGCATGTAGAATGCACACAAAAACATGGGTGTGCATTGTACACAGGAATGCACTCTATGAGGCAAAATATGGTAAACTTCAGCTCAACCAAGAAGAAAAACATAATTTGTTGGAATAAACATGGTTTGTTAATCTAGGAGTTCAAAAGAAAGAGGTCAGCAGATATCTCCATATCAATAATATTGGCAAACTTTATTAGAAAACATTAGCCAATAAATTTCCTGGGAAAGTTTCTCCTGCTAGTTATTTTCAGAAATAAAAACAGAAATCAAGAAGGTAAAAGCAAAATGATTTCTACTCCAAAAATAAAGGATTTCCTATTTCAAAGGTCTAATTAAACAGTGAGGACATCTATGTATATGATCATTTAAGTTTAAAATAAAAGTGTAATTGTTTCCATTGTCTGGTTGAGAAAAGAGATAAATCCTAATCAAAGCTCTATAGATTTGGAGTATGACTTTCAATGTATCAGTTGCTGAGTTAGTCATAGTGACAAAAAAAGGCTTGAAGATTATGTACTGACTCAGACATCATTGGATGCACAGAAGCAATGACTTTCAATTGTTGCTAGAAAAAATCTGGGAAGGAGTACATATGCAAAAGGCTGAATTTCTAACCGCACCTAGAACTATTGTAAAGCAAAAGATCCAGGAAGACTGTATTTAATACATATACGAGTGCTATTCAAATACACTTGGTAAATGCTTTCTTCTTTTCTACTGGTTTGAATAAAATATATTTCAAAACCTTTTTAAAACCTTGACTTATTTTACTTACGCTATCACTGGCTGTTCTCTCCCAGACACTCGGAATAGGGCACAGAGTGAAAATGAATATGTATGATTTGAGTTCAGAACGTCCTCAATTCTATGCCACACGCAGAGTGAAACATCTGTTTCTCAGAGATAGAACGGGTGAATTTCGATGCTGCAAGGTGAGACATGAAGGCCTATGACATTTTCATGGGAAGTTTAGAGTTTTTGGTCATGTGCCCCCACTCTTTTGCATTAAGGGAAAGAAAACAATGTTTTAAAAAAGTCCAAATTGGAAAATTCAGCCAGTTAGGACCTTACAGAAAAAACCGTGAAAAACATTCAGAACATCAGTTTTCAAAAGGGAATATCTCTCAACACTGATTTCCCCAGAATACTTCTACATACACAAAGAAACAGGATTCAAACTTCCTGAACTCAGTCTAAGGAGCAGTTCACCTTTCACGACACACATTTCTTTCTGTTTCACATGAATTCAGAGGATCCTGTGAAGCAGATTTTTAAATCCCTGTATGGTTAAGTCTGCTCTCTTAAACTCTTTTCAAAATTTGGAAATAAAAATAAAAGTAATGTACTGTTTATAAGAAGTGAAATATGATATGGTGTTAGGAACTGAGGAGATACAGAAGAAATACACACTCCATTAACGTGAACTCACGATTCAGGTATGAAGAGAAAGAACATGTAACATCACATGTAACAGAAAGTTCTGGACATACTAAGTAGAAAATCTTAGGCAGATGATAAAAGGGTTCGATTTTAGTTGGCAGGTAAAGAGAGTAGAATTTCACAGGGAAGATGCAGTTAATAAGAGGAGACATTACAGCAATATGTACAGAGCTTACTTAGGAGGGGTACTTTTTAATTTCATATTTATTTCCCTTGACAAAGGACACTTACATACATTTTTATTTTTTCCTTTTTAAAGATTTTATTTATTTATTTTTAGAGAGAGGGTAATGGTGGGAGAAAGAGAGGGAGAGACACATCCCTGTGCGGTTGCCTCTCGCGCGCCCCCTGCTGGGGACCCGGCCCGCAGCCCAAGCCTGTGCCCTGACGGGGAATCCAATCAGCGACCCTTCGGTTCACAGGCTGGCGCTCAGTCCACTGAGCCACACCAGCCAGGGCTACATATATTTTTATATAAAAAGGGAGTGGCATGCCAAAAGACACTCAAGAGCTAGATATTTCAATAACAGAAAGGGAATACATGAGGGACTAGACAGGAACTGACATATATTGTAGTTACAAAGATGGTTTCTCTCAGGATGGCAGGACTTAATGTGCTGACCATTCAGAGTTGCAAACTGGGGAAGTGGTAGAAAGGGTCCGGGCCACTATTCTTAAGGCCTGGGACACACAATTACTAAGAGGAGCATACAAACACTTCTGAACAATTCCTACAGCTTAATACTACAAATGCACAGTAAGCTAAATGTTCAGTACAATTTTGTGCTTTCTCCCCCAAATTGTGTTCAGAGGACTGCGGAGAATAGAGTCTGGGAGGGGGTCCCAGTCGGAGCAAGAAGCCAAGGACAACCACGTAGCCGTCCAGAAGTAGTAGGAGGCGGGCGTGGTGGGGGGGATGTCATGAGGTGGTCAGTGTACCAGGCAGGACAATACAAAGCAGATAATCAGGTTACAGTCATAAAAGCGGAGGGCAATGTTTAAGACCATGAAATCCGTGCAACCACATGAAAATAAGGTCCAGGAATGTCAATTTGTACATTTACGGGCCACAGACTCAACAAAAACAGTACCAAAAAATCAACAAAAACCAACCAATACAAACAAACATGCCGGTCAAGCAGAAATCTTGAATAAGGACTTTAATTCCATCTCCAAATGCCCAAGTGGGACCTGTGCAGCCTTGGAGCACATGGACACACAAATGACACGGAATGGCTTTTGTTTGCTTTGCTGCTGTAGCCACTGCTCCTGTAAGCCACTTGCATAGTCTGCAAGAACTTTGGAAACCCACTTCAGGCAAATATAAAGAGATGAGAACTGTACTCCGTTGAGAAGCTGCCAGTTCTGTTTAGCGCTTTGGCGGACACACTCTTTCACAAGATCGGCCATTTGCGCAAAGTCAGAGGGCGATTTAGACTCAGTCTTCGCTAAAGCGACAGCCATCTTCAAGAAACACGTCTACCCAGAAATTGTTAGGTTAGGGCTCCTAAGGGAACTAGTTTTTGTTTAAACGAGACAAGATTTTTTTAAACATTACCGAGGTTCAAACATTTCTACTTCTCTCTTTTAATTTTATATAAACATTGTGCCCTGGCTGATGTGGCTCAGTGGATTGAGCACCGGCCTGCAAACCAAAGGACCGCTGATTAGATTCCCGGTCAGGGCACAGGCCTGGGTGGCGGGCTACGTCCCCAGTAGGGGGCGCGCGAGAGGCAAGCACACAGGGATGTTTCTCTCTCCCTTCCCCTCTCTCTAAAAATAAATAAATAAAATCTTTAAAGAAATTCTTAAAAAGAAGTATTTGTTTTGTGATTTCATATTTTTCTCTTCACAATAAAAAAATTTTATTGTATTTTTTCCATTCCATTTATTCCGCCCATACCCTCTTACTTGGGTTCGAACCATGGTTGTTTTACAACTTACATGTTTCATGCTAAATTTCATGACCTGGGGGTTTTCAGAACTGGAAAACGAGTCCACCGCAGAGTGTTGAGCACACAGTCCTTCTTTTCAAAACAAAGAAGGACTGTTCCCTATGTACAGAATAACTATGCTCCATAGAGCTGTCAATATTTCTGTTCTTCCTAATTTGAACTTTTAAATAACTGAGCAACAGATCCATTCTAAATTTGCCAGAATTTTTGAGAATGTTGTAACATGTAAAATCTGGAGAGTTTCTCGCTCTCTCTAGCTCTTTCCGTTTTTCCGGCTACACACATTTTGCTGCAGTACTTTCACCTGGACAACTTTTCTGGGAGGAGCTGATTCTCAAGAAGTTACCACTCCAAGGCCACTGTGATACACGATAGTTCAGGCAGGCCCTTGAAAACTCTCAGGAAGGCGTATTGATTGCAAATCCTCTAGGTTCCATTTCTCTCTCCAACATTAACGAAAATGGGTGTTGACCTTATAGTGGACAACTATAATTGGAAAATTCCATTTTCAGGTCGTTCTCACACTGGACAACGACACCCTCAGCAGGAACTTTGGCAAGTTCTCTTTCACACAACACTTGAACCCTCAAACTAGAACAGAGCAATGCATCTTCAATATTGTGCTCACATGTAACCAAGAATACACTCACCATACATTTTGCTTTCTAATATCAACAGCATTTAAGACTAAGTGCATTTAATTTGCAAAATACCTGACATCAGAATCTTACAGGTAATGCATTTCTTTCAACCCTAAAGCATGTTGAGGAAACTAAGGCCCACATTCTAGGAAAGAAATGTCAGTGAACAGCTGAAAAACTTAATTTGAGTGGCCATCCAATGTAACTAATGAGGTCATTAAATTTTTAATGACGTGTGTAAGTTTTCTAAAAAGCCACACTGTTCATATATATGTAAGCGGAACTTAAAATTTGCAGGTTGAAAGATGATATTCTAAAGCCCAGTTTCTCAGAGAACATCAATTTGCTGATGAAGCCTCTTTAGTTTAGTTACAGTATTTTTCCATGACCCTATTAGACATCATCATGCTACATAGTCACTAACTTTTGCTGTCACCGCTAAATTGTGAATTGATACCGAAATGGTTTCTTTTATTGCTAAAATTTATCATAAAATAACTGCATTACCAGAACATTCAGAAAATGATGCTGTCAGCAATATGATAGTTTGGCACCGTGGGAACGGAAAGTGGTGATGAAAAATAAAATAAAATAAGACCGGAAAATCGCTTCCAGGACCGTGTCAGTGATACAAAATATGGAGACAGGTCTTCCATCTCCACAGCATATGTCATACGGAGCTTTAACTCCACGCAGTCATTACTATAGCCTCAGACATTTAAGAAAAAATAGCACGACATATTTTGAAATCAATTTTCTTTGAAATGTACAGTCTTACCTTTCCTGCCTTTTTCCCCTCGGGTTTCCGCTGATTTACGATAAAAGGGAGGCAAAGGAAGCAAAGGAAAACAAAACAAAAACAAAAATCAGCTCCAATTTGTTACTGCAAGTACATTTAAAACTGTTTTCACAGGCTGCATTCTTCAGTGGTTTCAGACAAGGGATACAGCAACATTGTAAATCTCATGCAACAATATGAAGAGCCGTATAGAAAACTTTGATCGCCATCAAAAAGTTAAGTTTTATTATGTTAAACATAACACCGGCATCGGCCAAGAAAAGGCATCCTTCCAATGACGCATTCTCAGATTATGTCACAGATGTGCCACCCATTTGTAAAGGGACGGTCCTTTATCTCAAGCATAACACATTTCTTAATAAAAACTAGGCTGGCTGGATATTCAGGAATGAGGAATAAACAAGAATATCTACACCGCATTGGATACTATCTCCAAGTGTTCATTTCAATGGTTTCTAGGAGAGCCTCAATTCAATTCTGTTCAACTACATCCTTTTTGAAGTCATCCCAGTAAAGCTATTTTGTTCAACATCAGGAGACAGGTCAAGTTCATTTTCAAAGTTCCAGAAACATTGAGGCCATTTGTCCTTTAGGTTCATGCTCCTTTGTAGACGGTGAATACACCAGATGATAAACTCACCAAACGTCTACATTTCCGGCCAATGCTACGCTAATGATACTCCCCAAGTTTCATCCCAGCTCCTTGTCATGTCTACAGTGTTCCCAGGAAAGTAGGGTTGATTTTGAAAGAGGGTAACTCCAAAGAGAGATACAATTAATATAGTAAGAGGAGGGATGTTCCCTATTTTCTGTCCTATGACATTTTCCCAGATCAAGAGGGTATTTTTTTCCTCTTATTTTACTATAACTCGAATTTCCAAAATTGACAGTGAAGCAAATATCCAAACATAGACAAAATTCTATCATCCCAGGAAATCAAACTGTGCTTGTTTTCCTTCCATTATGGGTTTTTTGGTTTTTTTTTTTAGCTTATGATGTTCATATTGTCCTTATGTGATCAAGTTAGCCATCAATGGCTCAGCGTTAAAATTCTATTTGGCTGTGAATAATAACCTTTTTCAAGAAAGTGTCCTTGGATGTTAATGTCTTTAAACAATCAGATTTATATCTATATTCTGAATGATAATTCTTAAATAACAGGTTTAAAATGTGACCTTTCCAACCAAAATAATCTCATGGAAGGAAGGAAGGAAGGAAGGAAGGAAGAAAGAAAGAAAGAAAGCCCAAAAAAACATTTTTTTCCCATATCTGAGAACATAGCATTTAAAAAACACCATTCTTTAGTTAACAGAACCACAACGGGTCTTTCTATGTTTGCTGCTTTAAAATTTACTTTCAAAAACATGGTAGATTTATTTATATATTTACCATTCATCACTGAGCAACCCAAATGCATATAAATGTTTAGTGCTTCAAGATACAAAAAATGTTAATTATATGTATATATAGGTGAGTTAGTGAATTGCTGAATAGTTAATGACTTAATCAATATTTAAGGCTAGTCAACATTTTGCAATGGAAAAAGACAAGTCCAGAATAGACGTTTATTTCTCTAAGTTATACATTTGACCTGCACTGTGCCACTTTTCTTGTTGTTTGAAAATTTCTACTGAGAAAAGCTTAAAACACATCAGGTGGGAAATGTTAAAATAACGGTCTTTGCATTTAGCTGCACCAGAGACAACCCAATGTAGCACCACCAGATTTGATGATAGGAATTTTTTTTAAAAAAAATCAATACTGGAAGGGAAAAGAAACATCCTGAAAAGCAACTTCTTTTTTAATGGAGACATGAGCTTTTAACCCCTTATTTAATAACTACCCCCAAAATAACCAATGTCAAACCAACAAAATCATTGTCCAAACAAATTACATATCATGAGGGAGGGAGAATAATTAACCAGTCTGAATGATATGGGCTCAGAATTTTCCAGAATATGCATTTGTCATATAGTTTCACATGCTCTTATTAATCTTCTGGTGTGAATAGACACATTTTTAGTCTTCTGTCAATAAATGCACATTTCTCCTGGTATATCTAATTATTTAGATTTATAAAGCTGGTTGAATATAATTGATGAGAAAGAAGAACAAAACATGGAGTACAAGAGAAATAATGGAGCAGAATTGCGGGGTAATATAATAGTTCTATGTTTTATCATTTGAGGAACTGCCAGACTGTTTTCCAAGCAGATGTACCTTTTGCAAGTTCCACCAGCAGTGCAAGAGGGTTCTGATTTCTTCACATGAGCAAAGGTGATTTGAAGGGATCTAACAAACCTAACAAGAACCAAATATTCTTAAAATGAGCAACAGGCAGGCTCTCATGGGTCTGCTCAGAACGCCATTGCGTTCGTTCTCACATAATCTCGGTGGCTTCTTCAAAGCCCCGAGCTTGCTTATATATACTACGACAGTAACAAACGTAGTGACAGTATCCTACGACACATCTGCTTTCTGAAAAAATAATGTTTCGTTTTTAAGTGTTTGCTTTTTGCATGAGGACGCCTTCGTTTGCCGCTAAAGACTGACGCCTTTGTCTCCAACACCGCTGGCAACCACAGCTCCTGGGAACATGTCCTGTGCCGCCTGGAGATGTTTGCAAAGTGAACATCAAAGCAATAAAGGGAGTATGAGAATAAACACCAGAACACAAATGATCTTCCTTATTTAGTAGAAGAAAAACGCTCTTTAAAAAGGCAAGAGCTACTGGAGTGTTTAATTCTGTGAGTACATATCGTAAATGAAAGAATTACAAACTAGATGTACGGTAAGAACAAAAAAGTGACCTATGTGCTTGCCTTTATGTCAAACTCAGGGATAGACAAAGGAATATTTTAAAGTAGTATTTACTGGCTCATAAGCATGGAGGTCAAGTGAAGGTGAAATGTTGGTACATATTCTTCCTACATAAATATGACTTAAGTATATAACTTTCTAATAGTGACTTGAAGCCAGGATATACTTGTATTCCTTTTAATTTATCCCTAAGCTTTAGTTGTAATCTAATGTGATCTAGCTCATAACAGATTTTTATTTTAATTATATGATATGATTACCATCTTTTACTTATTTCCTAGTTGGGAAGAATATTGTCTTCTGGGATTATCACATAGTTTTCCTGAGTTCTTAGCTGATTACTGACATATTCTCTTCAACTTCAAGTCCTCTAGCAAGTCCATGCTGAACTTCCACTTTCAGTGCATTTTTGGTGGAATTCTCAACTTTATTGCACATCATCTAAGAAAAATGTAACTCAAAGCCCTTACTTTTTCCCAGTTGAGTTCATTATTTCTAGGCTTCTGGGGTTTGATATTATCAACTCAAATGAAATACTATCTTCCAAAACCTTATAGCCACTCCAAACTCAAAACCTGATCCTCTTTTGAAATGGGGTCTTTAAAGATGAATTAAAGATCTTGAGACGCAGTCAGCCTGGATTTCGGTGACTGATGTCCTTCTAAGAAGGAAGAAGCTGGAAGAGGAACTGATCACCCCCTAGAGGTCACAGTTAGCCAGGGGGATCCACTTCCATTTCAGGAAAAGAAATTGGGTTGATTATAAAAGACTATCCAGTTTTGAATATCCAGGTATAAGTTCTAGCTCCTGATCAATCATGTGTAGACATCTATAATGGCAATTAACATTTGAAGTATTACCATAGGCACATAAATAGAATGCTATCCTCACAAGGAGGCAAAGAGTTGTATGAAAACGAGCAAGTCACCTGAATCTCAGTCTTTCAATCTGTAAAATGGAGAGAACAATAACAATTCACATTCCTTCTATCTTTAGAGATTATATTGAAGGTCAAATCAAATTCCGTTCCTCCCCATCCCTCCCTTCTCCTCTCCCAACTATTTTTGACATCTACTATTTTATTTTAAGAGTCCTATGAATCAGACACTCTTATTTAATATGCTTCATCTTAAGTAATGGTTCAAATAGTTCATCATGGTAAATACAATCATCCTATTTTTGTGTGTGTGGAAACTGAGTCATAGATGTTTATACTATTTACAAAAATTATGTAGAGTGTAACTCAGAAAATAAGTATTCTTTTCACCAGGGCCTGTTATATATCTTAGATATAAATACATCAAAAATAACCATTTTAACACTAAATTAATACATAAAATAGTTAATGTGCTATATGCTCTGATATCTGACAATAAATAAACTGTATGATATGTAACATTTTGATTATGCATGAATAATTCTGAATGGATCAATATTATGTATCCACTATAGTACTTCATTTCCTAACCAATAACTATCCTTGCTAGACTAAGAACATTCAGCTTTTTTTTACAGTGTATACATTTGACTTGATATTCAGTGGTTTTACACACGCAAGGAACATGCTGAGCTCCATAATCTGAAAAACTGATCAGTTTTCAATTCAAACATTTGAATTCTTTGCCCAGTTTCGATCTGGGTAATTCAAATGCCTCACGTGTAAGTAGCACAACTGATGTGTGCGGAAAAGGCCAGAATTTCGCAATGATCTCCTGTTCAGGGCAAAAAGGACGGACGGCCCAGCGTGGCGGAAATACGGCCTAGAACGAGTTTTGTTTCTGACACTATTTCTAACGTCATTCATTCACTCACTCTTCACCATTAAAGAGACTACAGCACATCGGTACTGAGATAGTTGAGCAGCTTTTTCTTCATTAATAAAGGTTTTCTTATATAACGTCATCTCCCCGAGAATAAGTCCTGTTCATTTACTTATAGCTTCAGCAGAGATATACAGCGAACTTAATTAAAGGCACAACTTAATATTTACCACAGCTCAACGTGACAATCCGCGCCCAAATCTGCAACGCGGAAATGAAATGCACCTCCTGAGTGATCACTCCTGAATTATCAAAGACTCCCATTAAAACTGCATAAGATACGGTCTGCGCTTTATTTAAAAAGGCATTTCATTCCCTAGAGGCTCATCTGCCTCAGGCGTCTTCCCAGTATTTAGGTCTAAAGTATCT